AATTTACAAAATTACACGAGAAGCTGTTTGATTTGAAAAATAATAAAAATAATAATGACAATGACCAAAACTGCTGAGTCAAAAAATGATTTATTTCAACTTAATCAAAAGCAGATTGTGTTTCCTAGAGTTAATGATTATCTGGAACATAACATAGATGGATAGCTGTGATGGCACCGTTGCAACCTCAATCTAAAGTTATAATATACATTACGTAAACTCTATTAAATAGCTGAAGTTTCGCTTGGAAGTTATATAACAGAATTGCAAGTTTATTCTCCGTTGTTGCCATCCGAGCTCCATACATATATATACAAAACGACGCGCCATATATATTCTGCAGTTGAAGACTGTTCCAGCTCAGCACAAACTTTTAGAAATAAAGATAATAACGAAAATTGAAACTCTAACTCATTCGCAAACTAATATAGCGACAGTCGTCTCGCAGAAATAAAATTACTGGTCTTAAGTAAAACAAGTGATACCACAGCAGTATGTGAAAAATTATCTTCAGAAGTTGTAAAACTATATGGGCCCTTTCCAGGAAGCTCCTGAATTTGAAAAATGAAAAATAAAAATTGATGAAATATAGTTAAAAGTGAATTCATCATATTTTGGCTTTCCTTTCTTGACTCCTACTATGTGAAGGAGGCCTTCATATCAATTTTGTTTTTGTTTTTAGTGTAGTTTTGATAATGAGAGTTGACAGGAATTTTTCTCAGGAGGGGGAGCGATCATCGGCGAAAAACATCTTGTGAAATTGTACCAAAAACTTTTCAAGAGCGGGGGGCAACAAATTTACTTGCGGGTGGGAGTAAATCCTAAAAATCTTCAAAATTGTAGACAAGGTTATGCTAAATATGCAACCTGTTAGGTGAAAACGTATTCTCAGAGGGGGACACAGTACACCATGTCTACCCCCTGTGGGTGCTAATGGCTTTGATGCCTGGGTATTAAGTCTAACAAATTTGATCAACTAGTAACTTTCCGTATCTTCTTACAAACTAATTGAATAATTCCGATGTTCGAGCTCTTGTAAATGCCCTATGGTTTACAACCATGGAGACACAGGTTTTGAGATCCGATTATGAATCATGGGTTTGCTATGGAGCGATAGCCTTGAGGATGTTCCTGATAACCAATAACATTGGTAGTGGAAGTTCAGGCATACTCTTTTTTTTGATACGATGCTTCCAGTTGATCTTGGTGTCAAGGATCATACGATCATAATTAAGTATTTGCCATTCGGCTCCAACGGTATGATTTTGTCATTTAGGGTTATTAGAGAGGGACTTGTCAATCTTCGGTTCGAGAAGTTAACGTGGATCCATTCCAGTTCGTTCAGTTTGATTTTTCCGTTGCAACCAGTGCTGTACCATCTGCAAATGCTGCAACTGTTACATCGGCTATGAAAAATGGAAAAGATGAAATAAAAAAGTTTGCCTGTTCTAGGAAGTAATCAGTCTTTTTTGTTTTAGGTTAGTGCCAGAGCTTTTTAGAGACTTCATAGTTTTCAAGGTAAAGTTTCCACATTTATTTGATATAACAAATTTTGTATCACGCTTAAATAACGAGGTTCAAATTCATTACAATTTAAATTTTTTGTAATCTGTCAGGCATTATCAAAAATTTATAGTATATAATAAAGAACTATTTTTTCTCAGTAGGTTTACTTTTGACAAACACTTCCCTCCGAAGTATTGTAATGCAGATGCGTCAAGTATCCAGTGTTTCCGAAAAGCCCCCACCCCCTCCCACTTACTTTTTGAATTCATAACGTTGGTAAGCCCGAATATGGGGTGCTGAAATTGAAGCATGAAAATACTATATTTCAACGTAGTAGTGAAAGTTGATGATTTCAAGATAGTGGTTCCATTCTACTCCCATTCCGTTAAAAAATTAAATTTTCAACTTTCACTTTGACGTTAATTTGCAGTACCCCTAATTTCACTTTGTTAACTTGATCCCTTCAAAAAATCAATATGGGAAAAGCATATTGTATATCGTATATAGAAGTCATATTAGATATCAGCTAACATTTGGGTGCATATAGGAACAAAAACACTTACGCAAGATTAATAGCCTAATCCATTTAATTATTGTAAATTTCCATTGACCGGGTCAAATGGCAATAAAACTGGCCAATTAAATAAAAGACTAGCTGGAATTGTGTCGAATGTATTTAATGACGCATAGACAACAGGAAGAACTAATAAAAATTTGCATCTCTTACACTAATTGAACTCGAATTATATAATAGTTGAACAAATATAGTACCTGCTATATCTACACAAATGGTCTGTACGCGTATCTTATTCAATCTTGGATTGCTTTGATTAAGAGCCCTAAAAACTGAATACATGCAGTTTTGCAGATGACAGCACCTTGTGTGCGAGCGTTCAGAGTGACAAGATCAATCTGTCTCTGCGAATGGGTTATAGAGAGGACTTCCTATTTAAAACCCTGACATCTGATTTGACACGAACATATCTCTGCTAGGTTGGAAAAAGTGGGATGTTAGACAGAAGCCTGACGCGAACATCTGGAAGAGTCAACGCGCGGCAGCATCAAGGCGAAGAGCTCTAAGGAGCAAAGTCTGTTGACATGGCGGAAGAAGAGAGCAAGATCTCGCACTGCTTGTCGGTGCGAAAGTGTCACGAGGCTGGCTGCTAGAAACGTGTCATTAATCAGTCGAACAGCCCCCCTCTGTACCGCAGCGGGCATGGATAGCATAGTCGGGGCGGCAGCACCCCAAGCATGTGAGCAGTACTCGAGTGTATTTCTTATATGTGCCTTGTACAGAGTGAGGAGGTTGTGCGGAGAAAATAACTTCTTACTTGATAGCCCTAAACAAATGAGCTAGCTTTTTACTTGCAGCTGTTGCGATTGACCCGATGTGCAAAATCAACTCCGCGGTGATCTGGCGTCCGACTAGCCGAAATGAATGGCTCTTTGGCAGAACTAGGTCTTGACTATTCGGAATGTGAATGACGCAGATCGCCAAACTTCAAGTCGTGATTCCGTGGATCATTTCCAGAAAAAAAGCTTCATAGGAGCATAGGTCTGAAAATGCTTTAATGCCGAAATTAGCAGAAATTCAGAAGATACAAACGCTCCGAACAATTTAATAAATTTAAGTCCAGCGGTCAAGATGGCCATAATAATTTGTGGTTCAAATTGAGTATTTTTCTGTAATGGTTTTAATCAAATTTCCGGCATACACATATTGAAAAAAAAAATCGGAAAAATTGATCTTCAAAAAAAGTTTGTGATCCTGTATCTTGCAACCGTGGTATTTCCAGGTCCATGTTTAAGGAACCTTTTTTTAGTATAATCATTTGAAGTTTGGTCAGGTACTTAATTATCATGTATGTATAATCCTTATCGTTCCAGACATCTATACTAATCTGGTTAATGGAAATTTTAACTTCATTATTCACCACACATTTTTGCCCGTCTCCATTTTGAAATCTAGTGGCTAATAATGTAGCAGTTAAACTAATGTAATTTCAATACAATTTAGTAAGTATACCTGTAATATTCATAAAATTTGTAATACCTAACGCGAATGTGTTTCAAGCGTATATCTTCAAACGGTGCTTCTATTGTTTCTAGTATATAAACCTGAAGATAGCGGACAATTGCTCCGAAACAAGTAACTCATTTTTTATTGATCTAACCCCAAGGTCGCTTCGGTTTTTTTAGGGTTAAGAATATTATATCTTTTACATGATGTTATACGTTGAACCTCGTACATTCCATTGTTTCATAAAGTTAAGTTTTTGCTTGTTTCGAAATTAGGAAATCGTGTAGTTGAAGAGAAAGCATACACACATGTACTGTAACGGTATATTAAGTGCTTATGTATATGTATTTATTTACGATGTTTTTGTTGGCCAAATTTCATATGAAAAAGCCTCTTAAGTTTTATTACTTTTTTTACGGGGTTCTCATCAGATGCTTCTTGCAACTAGCACATCTTGTAGAAGCGTCTAAATATCATCAGATCAAGTTTGAATCATGAACATGCTGCATAAACGTCAACATAAAAACCGTGCGAAATGACAAAAGCACCTAACAGATGTAGTATTCATACATATTAGAGGATTTCCATTTTTTTCTGCGGAATGTGGATTTTTTTTATTCTGTTGCCTATTTAGCCAAGTCCATAATCAAACACACACGTGATGGCGAATCAATTCTGCCCTGCTTCCAGATAAGTTTTGATATATTAGATTTTTTCTTAAATTTTTTCTAGAGACTGCTTTGAAGTCTTAATAGATTAGTTGAAACCAAGTCTGAAATATTGAGGATAAGGCCAATGCTAGATTATTGAACCGTTGAGAAAAGCATGTTCTTTTTCTACTTGAAGCTATAGCTAATGTTTGTTGATTCCTTCGGGAATAAATATTTGATTGCCAGAAAGAAACTCGCAGAACAAGTTTATACAAAATACCGATTTTGTAGCCTATTCTTTATACAATCGATATTTTGAAAAAGTATAATTCTGGAAAATTTGCCACCTACCCACGCAAACCGCATGCTTGTGAGTTTCTCCAGGTTAGAAATTTCAAAACTTTCTTAAGCAGCTATTAATTATTTATAAGTGAAGGTTTGAACTAGATAAAAGAGTTCCTTTTGCTCAGGGCCTGAGATTTAACCCTTAATAGCTACCCACGGGTCAAAATGACCCATCGATATGAGGTCCCCCCCACTTCGTATCTTTATATTAAACGTGAACAGCTGGCGGTGGTTCAGTATTCGTTCAGCCGCTGTTGAAGTAAATGTGCATCGTAGTTTTAATCTAGTGACGTAGTTCATTCGACTGTAATGGCAGCCACTGGGTCAAAATGACCCGTGGATAGTATAAACGTTATTATTTTGTTCCGAATTACTTGAATATTTTATGAACTATTGGTAGTATTTTTTATATGAAAAGGTAAGTTTTAACCACCATTTTTAGTTTTTTTTTATGAAGTATTTTTTTTTTATGTTTTCAGGTTATAATGGCTAAAGGACTTACTGATAAAGAGCTGGAACAAATTATTGAGTCTGATGAGTTCTGGGAGGATTTCGACGTGAATAATACTGCATCATCGTCATCTTCCACTTACGAATACAATGAAAATACTATTGAAAAGGAGGATAAACGTGATGCATGCGAGAAACTTTTTACGTTTGGGGACCAGAGCGATCAAGAAGAGGAAGACGAAGAGGAACTAAGTACCCACGATACGGACAGTGAGCAGGAATGGCAGCCTTCCGACGAACAAAATGAAGACGAAGAACATTCAGCTAGTACCAGTAATGAAGATGTGAATTTAAACAGAAAGGAAGTTCCAAAAGCTTTGTATGGAAAAGATAGAACAAAATGGTCTACTACTGCTCCAGTAAGAGGAAAGACTCTTGCAAAAAACATCATAAAAGTTTTGCCCGGTTTGAAAGGAAATGCAGCACAACACAAACCTCAATCTGCCTTACAAGCCTGGAAGTTGCTTCTGACAGATGAAATATTTGGACAAATTATAACTCATACTAATACAAAAATCAGATCAGTTCAAAGTCATTATGGAAAGTTCAAGAAGAAGAGCAATAGCAGGTCGGAATTTCGGCCTTCATTTATTGGTGAAACTAACAAAACAGAAATTGAGGCATTTGTTGGTCTTCTATACTTCCTTGGGTTATACAAGTCAGGCCATGAAGATTTAAGGTCCCTTTGGGCTACTGATGGAACGGGACGTGACATATTTAGATGCACGATGTCACTTGCTAGGTTCTCCTTTCTCTTATGCTGCCTTCGATTTGACGACGAACTAACACGAAAAGAAAGAATGAAAAATACCAAACTAGCCGCTTTAGGAAATCTTTTTGAAGAATTTATCGAAAACTGTAAAGGAAACTACTCACCCGGGGAATACTTGACCGTAGATGAGATGTTGGTACCGTTTCGCGGACGCTGCAGTTTTAAGATGTTTATTCCAAGCAAGCCCGCTAAATACGGTCTTAAAGTACAAGTTCTTGCAGACTCAAAAACTCATTATTTGCTAAATGCAGAAATTTATGCGGGAAAGTCGCTGGAGAAAAGTAAATGCAAATTATCTCAACCAACACAAGTTGTTCTTCGCTTGGTGGAATCGGTAATTGGAAGTAATAGAAATATCACAGGTGACAATTGGTATTCTTCTGTAGAGTTGGTAGATGAGTTAAGTAAAGTAAATGTAACCTACGTGGGCACTCTGAAAAAAAATAAAAGGTGTATTCCTAAAGAATTTTTGCCGTCTAGATTGCGTCAAGAATTTTCAACAGAGTTCGGCTTTACTTCTGGAAAAACTCTCGTTTCATATGTACCGAAGAAAAACAAGTCAGTGATTTTGATTTCCAGTATGCATAATGATTCATCTGTTGATAATGAAACAAAAAAACCGGAAATCATTTTGTTTTACAACGACACAAAAGCTGGAGTAGATGCCCTCGATCAAAAATGTTCCAATTATTCAACTTCCAGGAAAACTCGCCGTTGGCCCATGGCATTATTCCACATGATGCTAAATGTTGCAGGAATCAATTCTAGAGTATTACTTCAATTTTCTAAAAATGGAGAAGAAATAACAAGAAGGAATTTCTTGTTTAATTTAGCTCGTAGTTTATGTCAACGCCATATTATGGTTCGTATGTACAATAATAAGATTCCCCGTAAACTCAGAAGTTTGATGGCGAATATACTGGGAATTTCTCTTGATGTTGAAGCACAGTCTACTGAACGCATTCCTCCTTCCAAAAGAAAGCGGTGTGCTACTTGCCCATCTAAAAAGGACCAAAAAACTAGTACCTTCTGTGACAGCTGTAAAAATCCAGTATGTCGTAATTGTGCCAAAAACATATGCCCAAATTGTTTTCGATTTGCTTTTCAACACTTACATGTTATATTACAATATAAACGTTTGTTTACTTTTGTCAATAAAATTATTTTGATGTTGTTTTTCTTTTAAATTTAATTTTTTTTATCTGGGTCATATTGACCCTTGGGTAGTTCAAAAGTGATTGTTTTGGAAGAGTAGCTATTAAGGGTTAAAAACATTTCTTTGAATAAAAAGGATGAGAAAACCGTAGGTAATAATAAAACAGACTTCAATGACTTTTTAACATATAACAGAAGTAAATCATACATATACTTAGAAGAAACAACATCTGCCGTAACAATGTTTAACTACAGTCTGAGATAGTCGAGTGTTTAAAAACAAGAGTGGAATTTGATCCTTCTTTTAAAATGCGCAGTCAGTCAAAAGTTTCCATTTAAAAACAAAATTGAAAATAAATACTAAAATGTTCTGAATATTTAAAGCGGCAATAAATTCGACAGCTAAAGTTGTTTAATTTAACGTCAAATCGACTACGTTCTCTGTTGTTTCAGATCTACGTTTAGAGATATGTTCGACATATTTTTTGAAATCGGAACGAAAAATGAGCTGTTATCATTTATCTAAATATTATGTTAGAAGCATCAACAGTTCCAAATGATGAAGCTTGATTTGAACTACCCTGAGCCTTCTCCCATGCCCAAATTTCAAACCACCCAACAATTTTTTTGATTATCAGTTACTGGAGGCTGGACTGTCAGTGGTTTTTCATTCGTGTCATTCCCATGACGCTTCATTTTCTATACAACTCAACACTCTATGTAATATGTACATTGTCTAAATTAACTGTTGTACAAATAGAATGGAAGACCAACGTCCTTCAGATGGAGCATTCACATATGGCGTTCTCAGTGTACAACAAACCGATTGAAAATTACAAAGACACATCGCGGTACGCGTAAAAAACAATCGAGAGACCACTCGACCAGCATTGTGTACCATACCCAATGAAATACGCGACGCGTGAGTGGTTGTCGCACAAAGCACTGCTACAACACACCGTATGGTGCTACTTACTGTCAATCACTGCTGCCATTGATGCCTTGTGGTAGCTGTTTTACCAGTATCATAATGGGCAAGGTGATGGTGAGCAAGGAATAGTGGCACAGAACAAGACGAAAGGTGTAAACGAAGGTTTGGCCTTGAAAATCACTGTGCCACCTACAAGCTGACTACTACTCATTTACTGGCTGAATAGGATATGCTTGCTTCCCGTGTCTGCGAGTATAACCAACCGTATAGAACGTCGTTTCATGGTTTCTAGAAATCATCAATATGGTATATGTCTGGTCATTTGGAGACAGATGACAGAAAGCAAACAAGAGAAAATGGCTTTATTGATAATTCAATATTGTTATGTGTTGAAAATAAAACAAAGGTGACACGCCGTCTAAGAGCAGTTTTGGCTATCGCGGTACTGCCGGCCCTATTACCTACAGTAGCAAGAAACTAAGAAACTATACGTATAAGGTTGGTTGTAGAACGTCAATTCTGGTAGCACGATGAGTACTCAGTACTTTCTTGAGTTTCAATGGGACGTCTGGGAGGTGGTTGTTTTGTGTATGGCTTCATAGAAGCAAACACTATCATTCAGAGATGCCGGGAATTTGAAGTTTGTTGCAGATGTACCTAAAGGTAGGCAGTAACGTGGTTGGCAAGGCTATTTAAGATAGGTCACCTTTTTTTTAAATCATTCATTGTCTAAAACGCTTCACTCCTGTATTATGCGCGCAGCTTGTATAACTGGAAATGCATCTAGCTAACCACATTCTGCAGATCGTCAGAGTTGCGCCCGACACCTTTAATTCAATGTCTGCAACATTTTGCCCATACAAAACTGTAGTAGTATGAGTATATCTAGAATTTCATAAAAACAATTGTAAAGACGTATTTTACTTCAGAAATATATTCTTGAATCCGATAAAAGGCTTGCTCATCTATAGTTACAAAAAATTTGGCTGGGTAAATATTTAATAACGTTTTCCCATATGTCATACAAAAAAAAATGGAGTATTGCCTGAAGAATAAATTTGTAGGGCTTGAAAATACCTTCAAAATGAGACCTTATCTGCTGCAGCGGTCAGTTTATATTCCAAAAAATCGTCTACTTTCAAATTTCCTTTTTTCAAAAAAAGCACTTCAGAAAATATATAATAATAGTCAAAACCTAAATCATTTGTGGTGCATACCATCCAGAAAAAAATCATCAAAAACGCTAAGATTTTCTGAGAATTTATAATTTTCACCATTTTTTTGGAGATTAACGGACATTTACCAGTTATCTATATAGCATTTCACACTTTTCTGACGGACCTCGTTTTTTTTGCTATTTTAATCAGGATTAGATCTACTACTCTACATATACAAAATCTTTCCCGGAAGGTTGCACTGAAAGTAAATTTCATTCAAATCCTTGAAGATTGAATTTGGTTTTCATAAAACTATGTGCAGCGACGTAAATGTTTTGTCATCGTCATCTTATCGTAATAAAAGATTCACCCCTAGTCCCAACAAAATACGGGAGTGTGTTTTTAAGCCGTTAAAAGCAACCAATTTATCTTTCGATATTTTCCTTTCAGACAGGAGGGAAGGTTTTATATTCCAGCCTAAAAGCTTTTTTGCTCCTGCTTGATTCAAATATATATGGTGAGATTCATTTTCGCTCCTATGAAATATTCTATCGCACAAGATTCGTTTGCTCTTTTTTTATTTGTTTTCACTAGAAACTGTTAAAATTATGCTTAAAAATCAAACAGGCTTGGTATACTCGTATTTAGTTAGAAACTTACTCCATAGACTAGATACATAAGGACATTGTTAGTACTTCCCTGGTGATGGAGTTGAACACAGGTACGCAGGGATGGTCAAGATATTTAGTTTTTTGTATGGTTAAGTACTCAAGTATAGTCGCTTTAACAATTCAATCCAAAAATACTCTTCATGCACTTGAAAGAAAGACCAAATCTATAAATCCCAACCACCCATTGATGGTTTGAGCTGATTCGATGAACTTTCATGTATAGAACTTGGAAGATATCTGTCTCATCGAACTGTAATTATAAAAAAGCAAGGCAATGCAGGGAAGGAACGAGAAAGGGAACGAATAGAAGTTCTTTTCTTGGAGAACTTTAATATTAAAACTTGAAAATTCCATTAAAGTTTCACGAGCAAAAACCCAATAAATAGATGACCTGAAAATACGAGAACTGAGAACTCTTTCTCATACAATTCAAAGTATTCAAATTCCCATATCGATTGTGTAACTTCGAGTATAGTGGAACGTCGGTTTTCTTCTGCTTTCTAAGACAGAGCCGTACTACAGCTGAAATGAATTAGTCAAAATAGAAGAAACTCAAAAAACGACGTCAGTTAGACATTTTCTACACTTCCACGCAACGTTGTCACCACCTCATATAAACGGATCAAGTCAGTCAAACAGGTTCATAAAGTTTGTCCATAGTCCCCACCCATTTGACCAGATTGCGATCTGGAAATTTCTCCCATGAACTACCGGCAGGACCAACCATGTGGCAACGTTTCTATGACTTACCTGCCCTTCCGCCAGCGACGGCACCACGGCAACAGCGACTATGAGACACAGATTAGTCAGACCCCGACGCAGGTATGTCCAGAGGCGCGGGTGCTGAAAATATGTCTATTTCCATTTCAGTTCTCCTTCCTCACCAACTTTTCCTGATAATGATCAGGAATCTAGAGGTACGTCAAAAAATGAATGTTTTAGATTTTTTTTTCGTTTTTGTCCCTAGCCTCGCCGCCGCTAGACCGATTTCCAGAAACTACAGACCGCTTTCTCCCTTCGCGTATTACTAACCTTATGTGGAAATTTCATCAAAATCCGAGTTATAGACTAGCTAAGGATTAGCGAACCTGCAGACAGACTGATCGACAGACCTGCAGAAATGTGATATAGTTTTTCGTGATGTACATGTCATATAATATTAAAAAAAACATAACTCATTCTTTCATCAATATTAAAATGACAACGTGGATTAAAAAAGCGTCTATACTCCGACAGATTACACCACAATTATTACGTTGTAGATTGTTACTCGTTCGAAATCGCTGGAATCAAAAGCGAATCCGATATCGTTTCTATCAAACTGTTCGTTCAAATATAACCCGGTACAAACGCTGAAATCGCAACGGACTAGCTCGGATTCAGGAATCGGAATCAAAACCACCGGAATCGAAATCGAAACCATGCCATTGGAGTCGGAATCGAAATCATCAGATTTGATTCGTTCAGGATGATCGAAATTCCTCCATAGTATTTAGAACGACTCGTTTAGAACAAACCCAGTTCTCTCACTCGAGGATACTTATTGGTGCCTTCGTCACGCAGGCGCGGATTGAGGAGGGGTAACGGTGCCATAGCCCCCAAGGCCTCAGACTGGTAGGGGGAAAATGAGGAAAGGAGAAGAGAGAGGAAGAAAAAAATAAGAGATTAGAAGGAAAGAAACGGAAGGGAAGGGGGTGAAAAGGAAGAGGTTAAAAATGGGAAAATGATAATGAAGTTGTATCATCAGAGCGCAAACGGCTTGACAATACTCCCTGAAAGTAAGCAACCCACACTACATACCCATAGACGTGATGCGTCCGCGCCTGACGTCACGGGAACTGAGTTGACCCGACAGAATCAAGAATTCCAACCGCTACGAGTTTTTCTCTCACTTCAATCCGACAAAAAATCAGCATCCTTCGTAGACCAGTAACCGAAAATTGTTATTCAGCATGCCGAAAACACCTACACTGATCAACAGTACGGATTTTTCCAACTGAAAATGTTACTTTGCATATAAGAAATTATAAATATATACTGAACTAACCCCTAATGCTTTCGAACATTTACTTTACACAGACATTTTTAATGAACGAGATTGTTTGAAACAAGAAAAAATTCCATGTCATTATCATTACATCCGTCAATTGTGGAACAATATAGTCGAATGATATCGTTATTCCCGAAATTATAGGCAACATCGATCGTGCTTGTACTGGCGGTTCTTCATTATATTATAATTTATAGGGAGTATTTAGCAATGAAATTAATGTTGTGGAATGAGTTATCGGACGGAATTTATGGATCTGCCGAAATCTCATTAAGAATGGAGTTATAGGGGTGGGGTTGCCGGGTTCAGAAGGGGAGCCGATATCGTTGCTACTAGGGGAAACGCGCAGGGGAGTTTCCAGTTGCCAAATCAATGCCAACACGACACAATCGACCAGCTTTAATCTTCTACACATGTTTGTATTTTTTATTACTCACTAGGCTAATGTATAGATCTAGACAATAGTTGAGTGAATTGTTTTGAGTGCTCAAGCATTCGAATATCCGTACTCATGAGTAGTTTCAGAATACTTGTACATTTACAGTTATTACTCACTAGGCTAATGTATAGATCTAGACAATAGTTGGGTGAATTGTTTTGAGTGCTCAAGCATTCGAATATCCGTACTCATGAGTAGTTTCAGAATACTTGTACATGTTTGAATAGTCAAATATAGTATATCTGTATCGACAACCCATGAGCTACGATCACTGAATTTTATGCAGGCCAGTTTGTGATCCAGCGTAGAGCTCTACCACAATTATTCTGCATAAAGAAGCATTGCTATTCAAAATTTTCAGGAAGCAGTAAGTTGCAGTGATAAAAATGGCGCCCAACGTGAGGCTATTCAAAAATTTCACACGGAACAGAAAAAGCCAAAGTAGAAAATGGCGCTCATCATGTTTTAAAGTCGTATATGGAGTAGGAAGACGAAGACTAGAGATAGGAGACTAAAACGTATGGAATATACGTATTCGTTTAGTAGTTCTGTTGCCTAGGGTTGTCTGTCGGAAATCTAGTGGGCGTAATACATGTAGAGCGTCTGCGCATTGAAAAATGTCAACACAACGTCCGAACTGACAAAATTGTTGTTGTTTACGTAGAACCTGAAATTAACTTTTTTTTGCTAAAGTAACCTGGGGAAACGAAGATGGAGAGGGAAAGAGGTTACACCCGTATCCGGATGTGTGGGCATGTGTATCTACCTTTGTAGTTTCATATGTGCATTCATTTCGGGCTAGATGAAGCCAACCAGCAGAAATACGTATCGCTCCGGTTACCTATCCTATTTTCTGCTCGAATCCACTTTCCTCTTTTTTGCGGATTTTGACCATTATTGTCCTGCTTTTTGTTATATGCCTTTCTCCGCATGATCATTTTTTCATTTTCTCTTTATAAATAAATTTATATATATATACATATATATGTGCAAGCAGTAGTCATTGCCATTGCTAACGACCAGTTGGGCAAAAAATACAATTAAATTGTATATCTCGAGCTTTCGACAAACTATGTTGTCAACTTCAGGAGACGTCGGTGAGGTTGCTGGTAGTTGATGTTTTTGAACGAAAGCTTGGATGAGAACACTTGTTACAATTGTAAAAACAAGAGACCGGACACATTGGGTTTGTTGAACAGATTAAAAATGCATAATTACTCAAATTATTAAAAAACTAACACTACATTTTGGGGACAGAATAGGTATTTCTTTTATCACCCTATACTTGTTGCACGTGGTGACGGTCTATATATATTATACAGCTTATACGTGGGGCTGAACGAGGAAATGACAGAAATGGCGCCCAACAGGAGACTGTTGTAGAATTCCCCAAAACGCAGAAAAGTACAGTAACAAAAATGCCGTACAACGTCAAAATGTTTCAAAGTTCCATAAGAAACAGGGAGAGAGATAGTAGCAAAAATGGCGCCCAACTTGAGGTTCTTGTCAAACCTGTCAGGAGACGATGTTGTAGAATTCCTCAGGGACCAGAAAGGTACAAGTAACTCATAACGGGAGACTCCTTCAAAATTCTCCAAGGAGCAGGAAGAATTATCGTCAAAAATGGCGCCCAACGTCATCCTCTTGTAAAATCCCTTTCAAAAAGGAGGAAAATGCAGAGACAAAATGACTGCCAACTTGAAGCACTTACAAAATTTTCTAGGAATCAAGATGATGCAACATGCAATAAAAGTTGCAAAATGGCTCCCAACGCGAGGAAATTCCTATGTGACGCCTGCCTGATACAGGCTTCTCTACAAAAACCTCAACAAGATCATGGATATGTTTATATTGAATTTTCATGTTATACAGATATGATAATTACCTGTCCAACAATTCGTTATAAACAAGTAGGCTTTGATGATGAATAGTAAAACAACCCTTCTCCTCATAGCCGGCACCCTAAATCTTACCTGGAACTCGCGATACACCGTGTCTGATACATTGTAACACACCGTGCTTCCAGCACGGGACGCTGCGGTCTCCCACGAACGCCCAATTTGGCAACACCGCAGCGCCGCGCTGGTTAGAACCTTATCTCAACGTAGAGAAACAGCGTGCGCGCCTATGGCCGCAAGCACTCGCTTGAATTCTCCCAAACGTGTTATTTAAATTCGCTTCTCTCTCTCAGTTCGACTGTGCCCTCGATAGAATACACAACACATCGCCGACTGGCCATTACAGCTCTAGGACTAATCACTGTTGTTGGAAGGAAAAAACGGTCGACGAAAAAGTTTCCGAGTGTGTGAAGTGTGTGCGATTCACCTGCTTGTACGGGGTCATTGGAACTTGCATTATGTGAAACTGTGCTGCTGCTTCTGTTAGTTTTGTGTTCCGTCGCGTAACTTCTATTATTGGGTTCTGTCTGGTGGAATCGCGAGGAACCAGGAGGCTGGTTTCGATATTGAAGAATCGCACGCGGAGACAAAACACTTTTCAATGAATCTTGGAATGATGTTAATGAACTATTTCGAGGTAATGAAGACACTAACCTACGGTGCTGGTGTCAACTGGAGTGTGTTGTGTGATTTTTGCTTGCTACCTAACCTTGTTTTTGCATGATTAAATCACTTTCCTGTGAATTTGAGTTGTCCTGTGGAACTACTTGCGTGTGATCTTCATTATGGACAGTGAATAAGCTCGAATTGCGGTTATTGTTATAAAGTTGAGCCTGACTTGTGCGTTGATTTCTAACCATTGCTACCTGTCCTCAGTTCAGCTCTAGCGAACAGTTTGCTAAGCTTGCGATAACATTTCGAATTCGTAACAAATTTCATGCCTCTAATTCCTGAGCTTTGCGTTTTCGTCAATTTCGCTGTGTGATGACCCTCTAAAGCATCAAAAACTCGTTTCGCCTGGTTCAAAGACTATATTATAGTTCTGATGAGCTGGAAATTTAAATATGTTGGATGCCCCAGCATAACTAGGAACTGGCTACAATAAGCTACGAGATTACTTCCCTAATATGGACGCTATTCACATATATATCGAAGAAATATTTCGGCGTGTACCTTTTTATGTCATCTTGTACGACGCATTTTATCAAAGATTTCGTTGACAAACAGGTTATATTCAATAACATCGTCAGACATATAAAAATTGCATCTTACCCAGTTGTGAACCTGCTATCCCATACGATTGACTAGAAGATGAATCTATAACCTATCTATTACCATCACCTTGCTGACTATCTGATATTTGAGTATCATGTTAATAGGTGACACATTCCACATATAAGAAAAACCAACGTGATGGAAGACGCGAGAGAAACCAGGAGGCGAGTTTTTTACATTGAACGCATACGAACAGAACGTTGTCAAAGTCACTTTCCAATGATTTTTCATATGATATTAATCAACAGTTTGAGATAATTTTACGAAAAAGAAGTTACTATTCCGAGTTGATGAGGAACAAAAGTGTACGGGAACACCTATTGACACTAAGAGGGACGAAGGTGGATACAAGATCCAAGTAATATAACTTTTCAGACATTATTGATATTCTTAATGCCCTCGGCATCTAACGCAAACGTATACTATATTCAGTAGAATAGAAATGTTACCCTATAGTTGTGTATACACCAAATATCTACTTACGTAGTGGTAGTAAATACGAGAAATCAAAATGCTGATTTTCTCAAAAGACTCATGCGAGTAAGCTTTGAGCCGTTGACTATTCAACGAAGACACTAACCTCATGACGGAATTGCATATTGTCGTCAGTGAAGTCACTGTATCGGAGTTAACGTAAAATGTATGCGTATGTCTACGAGTATGCAGAATGGGAAATAGACGGATCAAGAAGATTCAATGGAACTCAAAAAGATGTGAATACAGGCACCATTGATCTTGTATGTTTTCTCAAATTCTACTTGCATGTAGCAGGCTTATAGTTCAGCTCATTTATTTAAGAGTAAATCACTTAGATGAACTTCCATGGCATAGACAATAGAAATGCAGATTCATACCTGTTCTTTCTGCTGCTGGTGGCGTGTTACCTGCTGAAGACGCAGATATCATTGTTTTGACTGACCGTACGTCGAAAATGAAATTTGGATAGCAATTGGACTGCAATTGTCTATTGATATAGCAGTTACTTGGTGTTCTAGCTTGTGCTTCACTTATATTTCATTAAACCGACACTTCTTCAGGATACATTTTGTTTTTTTGCACAACACACCTCCTACTGATACCAGGAAACGTAGATTTCTCTACCACCATATTCACTAAAAGGGGTTTCATCACTGTAGCTAAAAAGCATTATTGTGTGTATTGATCCTGAGAACTGCTAAAGAATAAGCACCTGGGAATTTTAAAGAAACAATCCGTGGAATGCTTTCATAGCAACCGTTATGTTTGTTACCTGGATTTTGACCTGGTGACACCTGTACACCTTTTATATCTAGCTAAAAATGTGGGCGAGAACATCTGCTAGAATATCCGGTTTATGGTGTCAAGGACCAACACGTATAAAGACATACAAATTCAATTTAGTGAAGGAATGTCAAATAGCTACCCAACATTTAGTTTTGATATTAACCAGTTATACGATAAACGTTCATACCAGTAGAATAATTTTACATTCCCAAAAAGTGTCCTTTTGATAATATTTGTAAGTGATATACGCCAACTTAGATTGATAACCCAAGATTCAGAAATTATGCATTACCCAAGAACTATTTATAACCCAGATAGAGCTGAAAAACTCCCTATTGATATAATGGCCGCTGGTATATCATCAGCAAATTCAGTGTATGGAACGACGTTGAAGCTTGTTTCAAAAAATTACTTCTAGGTGTATAATAGAACCTATAGAAGATAGCAGGTGTACAGGCATTTAGACGACGCCAGATTTATAAAAATACTTTTTTCGGCGAGTGTCGAGTTATAAATAAGACCGGAAGCACTGAATCGGGGCAAATATTTTTACTGAACTAACGCGAGAAACTAAATCAAAATGTATCGTAATTATTAACGAAAGAAGATATCAAAAAGGCGTCTTTCTTTTAATGGCATGTGGACACACAGACTAACATAGTTGTAAACATATCAGCCACAGAAGGAATAGGTCATGTACTACAACTCAAAATCGAAGGGAAATGCGAGGAAACTGGCTGCTGATCGCCAGAATGACATTAAGGTTGATGAGAACTTGACAAAAATTGAAATCTCATGTGGAAAAAGCTTCAGTCCATTGAATGATTCGATCCACGCACTTTATAACTGCTGGACTGTCGGTATGATAGCAGTACCTCGCAGGCACATCTCTGATTTCTTCCAGTGATCAATTAGGTACTCCTTTCCGAAGATCGCTCCTCTGAAGACCATTATCCTTCTTCCTTATTTTAAGTTATATATTGCTGTAGTTAATGAAACAACTGAAATTTATCATGTCGTTTTCATGTCGATAATCCCCCATGTTTGTCTATCAAAACCACATGCATCAGAAATTCTTCTTTATTGTATACGTTTCGGTTCCAATATATTGCCAAAAAAGTGTCAATTGTACTGGAGGTCCCACTGGGACTGAAACGTGTACAGGGCGTGGCAGCATACCTTCCTTTTTTCAAACCATTGTATGAATCAGAACATTTTATTTTTAAAACGTAGGCGCAAGCCTAAAGTTTTGTTTTACATAGTTTTGAAGATCAAACCAGATAGGTGACGTTCTCCATTTACTATACACTGACTAAACAGATTTCTGGCGCTTGTCATGACTCTTTCCAGTTGGTCTTCAATCTTGTAAGGTAGACGGTTCACATGAACACAGAAAAAAATCACAAGGGGTCAAATTGCGAGAGCGGATCGGCAACTCCAAATCGCCCCTAATTGAGATGAGCCGCTTTGGGAGTGTTCTCTCAAAACAGGCATCGATGCTCTTGAAGTATGTGCCGTTACTCCGTCTTGTTGGAACCCTTAAGTCCGAGTCATCTAGTCACGGAAAAAAATCCTGTAACAGGTGTACATACCGGTCCAAATTCACTGTGACTGCGACTTCGTTTTCCTCACTGAAGCAGGGACCAATAATTTGATCTAAGGAAATTACACACCACACTGTGACTTTAGATGAATGCAAGAGCCTTTGATGCTATTCTCCAGGATTGGTGTCATAAAAAGGGGCTTCATCGCTAAAAAAAACTGAAAGCGTTCCCAGGAACGACTTTGAGAAGGCGTTAACACGCTTTCAACCGAGAATTGAAGTTACGTTCAGAAAGTACCTGCACAATTGCCATGTTGTAAAGACAGAAATAAAGATCATCATGAAGAATTCTCCTCACAGAACGATCGGAAAGTCGAAGGGCAGACGGTGATTGCAACATTGAAGCTCTCCCTGCCTCAATGTTTTCATGTAATCTAATGGGCCGAAGGACTCCAGTTCTTCGTCTTGTGGCATTTGAAGTTTGATCGTACCGACGTGGTGCTGTAACAACTGAGATTTCCGGTGCGAAACAAGGGTAAATGGAGCTAAATTACAGGAATTCCGAAAGGCGCTCTGGTTGCGATCACAGAACATCCTCTCGAAAAGTAGGCCTCAATTGCAAAGGCACGCTCCGCACTGTTCAAACGCATGATGGCGACTTAACTGTGTCGGGACACAACTTTATAGTCCCGCCTCTCGAACGAGACCACTAGCGCTCCGCTACATCAACCGACTGAAAGGAAGTTATGCTACGACACCTTGTACAATAAAGAATTGTGGTTTGATTGGCCAGACAAACAGCGGCTTAATAACACAGTATTGTTCAATGCATATGTCACTAACTCTAATATCAAAAAACCTGTAAACTTGCTGAAACACTTCAAAAGCTTAATTGGCCCATAGTTCATAAATGCTGTGACATGTTTCTAGTACAGGCCATAACGTATAGCTTTCTTCTGTGATCGCTTTTCAGTGCATTGCACGTTCTGCTTAATATTTAACCAGATGCAATTATCCGTTTAGAACAATAAATTTTTCGATTATATAACTCACGAACGTTCCGGCGTCTAACGACTGCGATGTGTAATGTTGCTGTTAAAAGTGTACTTTGACGTTATGTAACTCGTTACTACTCGGCTCGGCTGCTGCCACTTATAATTTTATATTAAACAGATACATAATGAAATCACGGAACTTTCACTGCAGCACTAGACTGTTTTCTAATTAGGAATTTGCTATTACGGTACAGTACGATGAAGTTGAATACAATATACGCACTCCCATATCAAGTAGAGCTGTGGTACCAGAATTGTAGGTCCAATAACAAGAGTCTTTACAACACTTTAGCTGGAGACTCTGCGTATTCAAAATATGCAACGTCCTTGAAGACGAATAACCCTGTTTTTTAGCCACACAGTGATCAAGGTGTACGAGGAGCTAAAAAGGTTAACAGAACTGGTAAAGCTTTCACAGATATATTGTTTCACAATCTCGGCACTACAAGATCGAAGAATCGGTTGTGCCAGTCAGTTCTGGAGGTCCGGCTGGCGGTTCCA